GGCCAACAGCAACAACAACAACATCAGACTAAAGGCAATTGGCAATTCGAAGCAACCGATTGAATAAAATGCAAATCGAATTTTCCATCCTATGGCAATGCAAGGAGCAAAACCTCTTAGCACAACGTGTTTACCATAAATAACTTAAGTGAATCCGTACTGCAAAAATAGTGCAAAGGAGACAGATAAACCAAAGAGTGAGCGAGTGAGAGAGAGAGAGAGAGGGATAGCGATATCAAGTAGCAAAGACATTGCAATGGAGCTCAATTAAAATAGCATTAAATTCCATTTGGATTGCTTTTTCAAGCTGGCTGTCAGAACACCTCCTTCTTCGTCTTCTTCTTCTTCGTTAGTCAACCTGCCCCAGCCTCCCTCCTTACCACCAACCACTCTTGCTCTCAATCTCAACCAGCGTTGACATTGCCTTTGTGCAGCAGCTATAGAGCAGCACTCCAAGCATTTGGGATTTGAGTCCGAGACAGATGCTCAAACGATACGCCAGTTCGCCTTAGTTTCAGTCTGAGTCTCAGTCCCAGTCTCAGTCTCCGGCTTAGCCGCAGCCTCTCTCTCTCTCTCTCGCTCTCTGCCCCTCTCTCTCTCTCTCTCTCTCTCACTCTGCCTTAGCCTATGGAATTTTCACCATTCTCTGATGTGGTCTCTTCCATGTCGCTGCATAGCTTTCAGCGCCTGCTACTTTTCTTGACAGTGCCCAGAGCAAAAGGAATTTCAGCTATTTGCAGGAAAGCCATTTTGCCTTCTTGTTGATTTAATGACATCTGCAGCTTTAAGCCATATGCAAGTGGCAGCAGCTGCTGCAGTTGCATTCAATTTAAATGCACTTTCATTTAATTTACTTGTCAAATAACTATTATGCCAATTTGTTTCTCGATTCGGGTCATTACAATTGGCAAATAAATGAATATCACCTAACCGAAATCAATTTACCAACTTGCCGAACTAGTTCGAATATTGACTTGTCACGCATCTAATGATAAATGCTCTCGAGAGTGGACACGAAAGTTATGGCTTAAGTGGGGCGAAATTTTGATAAGAGTAATAGGATTTTATATACTGTTATAGATGTGGGATGAGAGAATTATAAAAGCTGGTTGGGAGTAAGAGGAAGTGAGGGACACATACAATAGTTATATCATATATTACTTCGTATATATAAAATTATATGAATAGGATATATATCATACAAGGATTCATTAGATATATTCAATATATAGAACTACTGAAATATATGTGAGGGATACTATATTATTAACTAAGTATAAGTATATATATTTATATCCTAGATCCTAAGTTTACCAAAACTCTACCAATTTTTTTTTTCCCCCCATTTTGATACCAACTTGAAGTTGACTTGGCCATGCCGAAGAGTCAGAGACAACTTTTAAGTACCTCTCGAGCTCAAAGTCAACTTCAAGGAAAGCAAAACACATGCATGAAGGTGAATTTGAACTGCTTCGAGTGCCAGATGTGGCCCCGGGCAGACATTGCAGTGCATGCATAAATACCCAGCACTTTCAATGCAGGTGTTGTTGCTAAGCAAACTGTACGAAATGTATGCGCCACAGAGCTCTACTCACATATCGGACGCCATAAAGTATGCATCAGAAGCGAGCGCGCTGAGCTGAAGTCCAGTAACCGTGGCACTCACCTGTTAAATATTCAAAATCATATGCATGAACAACAAAGCCGGGTGACGGGTCCAACTTAGAGTCATCGCAGCCCACCCACCCACTCCCCTAAACAATAACAACATATATTCAAACACACTCACACACACACACACACACACACACTTGGACATACGCAGCAATTTGTTCGTTTGCATATTTGATTTGCGTTTGTTTGTGTTCAATTTATGTGGCATTGAGAACTTTGGCGTATTTGACATGACCATAAATACATATTCATGTCCAATATATTTATATATCTATATACTATATTTAGACACATGTCTGTACATTCATACGTATGTAGTTGTATACACAAACAGACTCGTAAATATGCCAAAACGGACGTCTAATTCAATTTATTTACTACGTACATATATGCCATGCTCTCTAGGCTATATCTCTATATAAACATGCACACATACACATTCATTCATATGTGTATGCGTGTGTATGTGGAAAAACTGTTTTTACCAACTAACATACTTTAATCTAATGGCCAAAAACAATTTTCGCATTTCGAGGTAGAAACGAACAAAAGCACAAAGATTTGCAGCAAAAACCGGCGAAAGCTTATAAACTGTCAAAAAATCAGCTAAAAAAGCGCTGAAGACAAATGTGATGAACCTAATGGTACTGTGTAACTAATTGTTAAGATATTGTAGGTTAGATATATGATATGTAAATTTAGATGTTCCAATGAAAAGCTGTAGAAATTAAATGCAAATGAAAATAGTAGATAATTTTTTTTTTTTTTTTTTTGTTATTGTATACTGTATATTTCTATATAATAATATTTAAAAGAATCTTGGTGACTCAAGATTTTTCTTAATTAATAACATTTTTTAAAAGTCTTTCTCAAAGACTCCCAAAGATAATTTAAAAAAAAAAGA